TAGAAGATCGAGGTTCGACATCTAGAGAAAGAACCTTGATAAGGTTGACTATCCTGGGAACGAGATGAATGAGAAAAAGTCAACAGAAGGGGAACCATTGAAGCGAGTTGAAAAGAACAGACACGTAAACAGTCACGATAAAACAGATCAGGGACCAATTACCCGGGTATTGGAAATCGAATGCAAGTTAGAAGTCAAAGACGGTTGTCAGCCAGCCGAATGGTTTTACGTTGAACACGGTCGAGGAGAGAAAGGGTGTAGTGCGAAGCTGCATCCAGTATTCGAGCATCGGGCGGATTGGAGCTTTGTACAAAGGGTGCTTGGCTGTAGGGTAACGTTTTGTGCGGAGTAGAAAGCCGACTTTGCGCGCAGCGCGAGAAGCGAGTGTGGAAATAATAGGGGAAAAAAGAAAAGATAAATTTATGAATAAACTTAGGAGGAAGGGATAATTTGTGGAACGAAGGAATATCGAGTCAGAAATCAATTGAGGAGAATTTATTATATTTCACACTTCTCTGAGGACAGACTGTATGCCAAGCAAATCACGATACAATAATCTTTATAAAAAGAAAAGCGCTACGTGAGTTGCATGTGGGTTAAATACTGCCAGGTTGCCCAGGGCAAGGCAGGTGAATTTTTTTCAGGAATCCACAACCGGAGCCTTCGGCTAGCCAAAGCCTGACCCGCAAGGCAGCGGGGCGGTGTGTGAAAACCACAATCCGTTGGGAACCGTTGTTCAGTTCATCCGACCATACACTCTTTGGACGGAGTCAAACGTTCAAGGTGCCCAATACACCTCGACACCCAATCGAGCCAATGACCACTGCCACAATCGAAAAGGTGTGTGTGGTTCGTACGCGTCTTCTTGGTTTGTTTGTAATCAGGGTTTTTGGCCAACTCCCCTAGGTGAAATGCCAGTGGTTCACCAACCCAGTTATAGCCCCGGATGTCGGCTTTTCATCCTCTCACTTTGGTGGGGAAACACGTCTGCCACGAGAAGACAGTGAGTAGGATTTGCTCAGCAGAGGCTATTCGAGATGCTTGGTCGTATGGGGGCATTTCTCGAGGTGCAAGAGAAGGGTTACCACCCGCAACCCTAGACACCCACCCCCGACCATACTGAGGCTTTCGGGGAAATTTCTAAGAGAGATGGAGAGGAGAGTATGGAAAGCATTGAGATTGATGATCGATAGATCCCCATGCAGAGATGAGTCGGAGGTCGGAGGGAAGAGAAACACTAGTGACATTGCTATCGTGATCGATATTGAGAGTGGCCTGATGAGTTGTGGGGTAAGAAAAAGAACAGTGGAGAGTGGCAAGATCGGCATAGCGATGAATGGGATTAGAGGTTTTGGGCGAAGGCGTAGGACCTTGGGAAACACTTTCATTCAGAGAGAATGGTCGAGATGGGACTTATCGACTCGGTTGAAGATGGTTTGCTTGCTGAGGAAATATTGTGACCACGATACGAGAGACCGGTGGAATCCGAACGTGGGTAATTTCGACAACAGACCTCCAATGGAAACGCGGTCGAAGGCGAGGATATGTGAGTTTCTCTGTGGTTATCGTGTGCAGATGACCAGGAATTCTATGTGAAAGCCAGTAGGTCGCCTTTAGACCAAATAGGGTAAAATCTATATTGACGGTCATCAGTCAAACCTTCGCATTCGAGAAACGCTGGCAGCTAGTGGGATATAATGATTTGAAACATCCTGTAAATTAAGGCAGTTTCTGAGATCGGAGGGGTTACCACGCTTTTGGAACAAGAAAAAATAGTGTCATTTTCCTACTGGCTGGGGAAGGATTTGAGATTGGGTGAAGAAGAGAGCAGGCGGTGGAGAACCCCGGGGCACATTTTTTGGACGATAGGTGGAATACCATCTGAACCGTGTGTTTTACGAACACCCAAACCGCGAAGAGTTTGGCGAACCTTTCTGTCCATGACTAGTAGAACTGCAAAAGGCGGCCGACATCTTCCTCTGATTCAAAACCCAAAATGTCTAATGAACCTAACGTAACGTTTTCCGATACTATACCATCCTGAAGCGCTGGCAATAGGAAACAAATAATATTAGTAAGAGGATTATCAAGGCAAACAAATGAGTTTTTTTGAGCTATATGGTTTGAATTCTACGGTTAGAAATATTAAATTTGGTAGATGCACGACATAATAACTTGACCTAACGAAACTGGAGTTACTTGTGATACACCCACTCATCCATCTGGTATAATCAATCGTGCTTAGGAACTCACTGTATTTCTCAGGGTTATGATGCTATATATACTCGTTACACGGTAGTTTTTTACGATTATGGGGTTGACCCCTCCAACTGTACCTAATAGTGTGCAATAAGAAAAACTCTTCATGTTTCTCCTTTATTATGCTAATTTAAGGCCTACGGATCCATGACTACGATTCAGAACCGGTAATGCTCATTGAATTCAACATTCCAGTTGCCTAAGGACACTATACGTGAGCTTGTGCACGCTTAAGTAAATAGTCTTCTTGTGTACTCCGGCCTTCAATATTCAAAATTTTGCCTCCCATCCTGCATTTTTCATCAAACATACGCAACTGTAAACTTTCCTGATCTTCCAATCAATTGTTGAAAACCAAATTATCACAGTGTATCCGTTCACGCTCTACATTGCTCTGGTTTTTAGTCGTCACTCCGACCGAGTGCAAACTAGTGAAGGCAAAAATTCTTCTCTGGTATTATTGCCATGTTAGAATGCATTGTGGATCGGAATGCACTAGAGTACCTTATTATTAGCAGTAAGCTACAGATGCAAATACTTTTTATGCCACTCTCCGTAACGTTTTTTTTCAATTTCCTCCCCCCATCGTAGATGCGGTATATTGTGGAGACTCAGGGTCTGCCCCCACCAGATCTCTTGCAAAATGCAAGCAAGTTCAATTCTTTTTTTGTGCGCGATCCATACCAGTGTGAATTACGCCTCAAAACTCAAGAGGAGTACGCTCTGGAAACCGGACAACAGGCCAAAGAAGCTCGGAAGTATTTCTTCACGTCACTCAGTCAAATATGTGAAGTTTCCGGTTTACCAGGTCCTGAAGATCCAGACCGGGAATTTGAGCAGGAAGACCGCCAGCAGTTTGCAAACCTACTTGCAATGATGCTCAAGTTAAGACCACACGAGCGCGTTGTTCCAGATGCAGCTCTTGTGCATCCTTTTATTACCATGAGTCACCTGCAAACATTTCCATTCTCCAAGCGGTTAGTTAAACAATTTTTATTCGTGTAGCGATCAATCCTACTCTATGGTCGTCATTCTTTTAGTGTTTGATAGAGTAATGATGGCTAACCTAATTCCTACTGGTTAAATGTTATTCTTCTTAAATGGCTCACCACCTGCACCATTGAATGTTTTTACTTTTATTTGCGGGAGGTTTTATCGTTAGATTTGCACGTTTGTATTTTGTAGCTCATGGGCCAACATACGTCAGTTTTAATTTTGCAAGTACCTGTCCGTCGTAGTTGTAACGGGCTCTGCTATCTGACTTTTAAACTATCTGAGCTTGATTTTGCTTAGATTTTGGTTCATATTGTGACTTATAATCAGGTGCACTGGTTGGGAACTCAAAATGAGCTCACATCATTGATAATGATAATCTTAATCTTCTTTCACTGATTGAGCCAATGAGTACTCATTTTTCGTAAACACGAAAGCTATCCATCAAAGATCGCGAGGGGACATAGCAACCTGGAAGTCAGGTAATATTGATGGTTCAACAATATGGGTTAGTAGGGGGCCTGTGTTGACAATCATCAAAATGCAGTTGATGACTATCTGTTTTTGTCATACTCGTAGTCCTGCCGTCAGATTAGTTACCACAAGTTGTAGCCCAACATCCAAGGAATTGTCTACTAAATGATCGATTAGTAATCATTAGATAATAGATTTGTACCGAATTTGATCTCCGCTAGTGAGTTCACTTGGAAAATGACACATTTGATATGGTTTTCTTCTTTTTATTAGCTTTCATGAATCTATCAATCTGATGCAAGTGTGTCATGAGGCCAGCCGCCGGCAGCAACAACAGAAGCAAGAACAACAGCAGCATCAACAACTCTTACTTCATGCGAAGGGTAATGGTGATAACAATGGAATCCAGTATCTTTCAACATCATCGCTTAACGATTTACCGTCACATCGTTTCCCTCGATCCGCATTGACTTCTCCCAGTGCAGCCACTGTCAATACCGGTTCTAATCCCACATTGTTTGCACATGATGCATTGACGGCTCCTATTCCCCAGTCGTCTGCGGTTCACCCTACCGGAACGGCAGTTGCTTACTACGCTGCGGCAGCTGTTGCTGCTGCTGCTCTTGCTAAGCCCAATGGTGTGGGGCAGAATGATTCATGTTATTTCCGTCAGAACCGCGTCCCGGTTTTAATCCCCGATAGTCACGTGTCGACTGCATTTCTGGACCGTACTAACCCGACACATCGTGCGACAGCCACTTACTCAACTTCAACAGACTACTCAGATTATCCAGCCGCTGCAGCCGCCGCCGCCGTGCTTATGGCTCAACAGAAGTCTCGAACTGGTGGTGTTCGCACACGTCAAGCTAATTCAGCGTTAATGCATCAAATGTCTGCAGTGCCACGATCCTCCCTTTCCTTGTACGACCTAGTCACAGCAGGTGGAAGTGCCTTGTCCTTACTCAATGCTGCCGTTTCTGCTGCAGCAGCCCCTGCACCATCAAGTACATCTCTATCTGGAATAAGTTCCGTTCGAACTAATCCTTTCCCTGGCCATTTTCACTCAGCCTCATCCTCTTACGACGGCTTACACAAACTTGGGCAACCCCTTCAAGCAAAATACAGCAAACCGGAATCAGGTAGCCGGCTGTCCACAGAAGCGGAACATGCCGCACTGATGCTGAGCTCATACCTGGGTCGTGAGCAACCCATGTCTGTACGATCTGGGGACTCGGTAATAGCTGTATCTGGAACTGCTGGCGATAGCGAGCTGTGCGATTCGTTGCATGCTTTCGTTCAGCAACAACAGCATCACCAACAGAGACACCTTTGTCGAAATTCTACTGTTCAACCTCAATCTGGTCTTCCAATCAGACAACAAAGCCGCCACCTTCATCAGCAATCACAAACGTTATTGTTGGCTTCCGATTTGTCTGTCGCATCGGATGACCACGAGAAATCCAAGGAATTGTCCTCAGTATCTGGACAATCGAATACATTCTCACAGTCAGTCTATTTGGCGCAACAGGCTTACCACCAGGCATATCCGAAGCACATCTGCACAATTCAGTCACAGACACAAGCGGTTAGACGCAGTTTATCTCATTCTGTAAGTCTGCTATACATACATATATATATATTCTGTACCATATTGGAGACGTCATATGATTGACATTCTGCGTGACCCCTTTGTTCCCTGTTTACTATGATTATGAAACTTCGTGTTCTGTGCTTGTTTCCTGTCTACTGTGAGATATATCCTTTAGAGAAAAGCCATTTTTCACCTTCTAGGAACGACAACAATTTGTGCGCCCGATTCCTTGCAGTCAGTTGGTAGATGCAGTTCCTCAACCTAGCCCAAATGTCATGGTCAGCTCCAAACCTGTATCGGGTATCGGGGTGACCAATTCTGCCCTTGATGTGATGCCTATCAATCTTGTCACGGGAGATGGAATCCATGTTTGCTCCTCCGGACCCAGTCTAGGACCAGTCGTGGGCTCTTCGGGCGACTCCGTCCCAAACAGCTGTGCTCAACCGGCTTGGTGCTCGCAGTCTGCTCAAAGAGGTCCCGATAATGAACGAAGGGAAGAGCATGACGACCGAAATCCTCACGACCTCACCAATTCGCATACCTCGGTGATTGATCGTAGTTTATTGCCTGTTTGCGGCAATGTCAGCTTTAGCCAAAGTAAGTGCTCTGGGGTTTACGTTCGTACGATGATGTACTCGTTCTGAGTGTGATGTCATCAATACACACAATGGACCATATTCTCTTTCGTCATTTTCGTCGTTTGTGTACCGTGCACCTTGGTTCTCTTTATCCTCTTCACATTATCAGATTGGTCAACAAGCTGCTAGTGATACGTGTTACTTTTGACTAATATTTTGAGAAAAATAAACTTGCATTTCGTAAGGCAATAACAACTCCACATAGTTGAGTAAGCAGCTCGACTTTCTAGTTCCTATTGAACCGGTTGTTTAATATATATGGAGCTCGTCTTCGTCTTGTTAAACTATTTTGTTAACCGTTTTGTCAAACCATTAACCGTGCACTGTCTCACGACAGTTTGATTGATGTCCTTCGGATACCATTTTTCAGACTGGTGAGGGCCGAACAAATGAGAGTTTAAAATTACGGGCACTATCAAAATAAAAGTACTGTAACATTGCAAGTAAATTATATCTGATAGAAAATATGCGAGCACCACTGTTCACAATACTCAGTCCCATCATTCAATAACTCTTTACTCTTAGGCTGTTCCTGAGGTTCCAAAAGTTGAAGATTAACACCACCTAAATGACCGAGTTTCCTAACCGGGGTCTTCACATCACACTAACTGTTATTCTGATCGCTCCAATTCCTTCTTCTAACCACTACTTGCCTCAGAAAAGTTCCTCGTCAAGGAATCCAATCCAGTTGCATGTGTAACGCATGCCTCAGACTCTGCAATCTGTTGGTGAAGTGCTTTTGGCAGTGCGGAACCACGATCATCCGAAGCTCTTTGTTTAACCTCGGCATTGCTCCTGATTCGTGCGATGCGGCACAGATAAGTGTTCGGACACTGATATTCTGTTTTTATCGTTCTCCCGTAACGAATGTCTCCGCACCATACAGCTGCAACTTAAGCATCGACTGTTCACGTACAAGCGACGCCAGAAGTGTCTCCTGTCGAGAACCGCCAACCAAGCCTTTTATTTGATTGACGACGCTTCATCTGTGCTTCTTCTTCTCCAAGTTCATATTTTTCAAATTTTTCTACAATGTATTTCCTCTCCGGTTAAAGTGAAATTAAGATGATGATGGCGCAGTAGTTTAGTCGATGCCAACGGCGTGTTTCGGACCCGATAGTTTGAACCCCGCCACCACCACCGAGCTTTGGTGGTAGGCAGCTTTTTTGTCGTCCGGTTCAATACCACATCAAACCTAGCGAAGACTTATGTGGTTCACCACCCGAAGTCCCGGGATATTGGTTTCCATCACCACGTAGCAGGTCTTTCCTTCCTTCTCTTGCACCTCGAGAAATGCCCCCATACGACCAAGCATCTCGAATAGCCTCTGCTGAGCAAATCCTACTCACTGTCTTCTCG